ACATTCTTTGGTCCAGAATGAACACTGGGTCTCCTTTTTTGGAAAGGCGTGAATTGGGCCATGAATGGTACCAGACCCTTTGACAAGTGGGTGCTTGATGATGGTAAACATATTAGTTTTAGCATGATGTTTGGGCAGGTGATATGTATTTAAAAACTGAATTTTGGGATGTGTTTGAGCTCTGTTAACAACAATATTGTACTGTTGCCCAGATGTGGAATGGTCAAGTTCTTAAACTGACATTTAGACGATGTGTGGATTCTAACTTTCTGGATAGGTGGCATGATCTCCTAAATGTCCTTTCTTTTTTAACCCTAATGATTTGGCTAATATGTCTATCTAGAATTTTGAAGCTTTAGGGGGTTTATTCTACAAGATCTTTTGATAACAAAATTAATTTGGGGGATGTTTCTACTCCCATTTGGGACAACTCTTGGAAATTATTGTTGCACATAGGTATCTAGTTTTTGTTTGGTTAGCAGTTAATTATAAAATATTGACGAGAGATAACTTGAACAAACGAAAACATGTGGAGGACTTGACATACCTCTTTTGTAATGAGCTGAAGACTATTGACCACTTATTCTTTGATTGCGTTATTGCAAAAACCTTATGGGAGGTTGTTGCTGGTACTTTCAAGTTTAATTCTGCTGAAAATATAAGTGAACTGTGTGCCTTGTGGTGCTGAAACAATAAAAAAGCTATTATTGGTATGGCTTGTATTGCTTCCGTGTGGAGGTTATGGACAATGCACAATGATATATGTTTTTGAGAGGGCAATATGGAATAACATACAGATTCTCCTGGGAAGAGCGAGTGATTTGCTTCATAAATGGAAGATTCTTTGCAAGGATACACCATTTGTCTTAATGAAAGAATGTCTACTGCTTCTGGACCATCGGAGAGGTGAGATTCTATGGATCGTCTGGAGATGAGTGGAGGCGTGGACGGGGTGACCAAATAGCGAGGCTTTTTCCCAAGAGCCCATTACTGCTGGAGCTATGATCTATAATTGGATAGTCTTGCTATTTGTTTTCCCTGCCCACTTTATTGGATCCTTCGATCCCCTGTTTGTTTGGTATAAAACTATCTAGCTCATTTCGCAAAAATAATATCTAGCTTAGCTACTTTAGCTTAGCCTAATCGTTGTGAATAGATTTTATGTTGTATTTTTTTGCGAAAATGATTTAGATCTATTATCAAAGTTCAGCGGGAGTACAAAGCATCTCAAACATAATAAAAATTACATCGAGATTCCAAGACCAACATACGACCACTATCGTCTCAGAACAAGTCACCGATGTGTCGTTGTCGCCGCGGCTCCACTACCGGAGCCGGCTTGACCCTGTCGATGACAGCTGGGAAGTCTTCCTCCACGTGCCCATGAGGATCATCATCGTTAAACCCTTTAATATATCTGAAGCACATGGCACCAAATCTCGCCACACAGCGAGGAACCCTAACCTCACCGCCCCAAGGAGACGGCAGGAATATACGCCGTAGCTCCGTCCACTATGTCCAGATGGACCAAACCGAGGAGGATCGGACCCAGAAGACAAACTCGAAGTAGAAGTGCCGCCATACGCCCGAGCGTTGCACCTGTGAGGACTAAAAACCCTAACCTAAACTACCAGCGGAGCAAAGGCACCGAGATTCTCCTCCCTTCCACCGGCTGCCAGAGCGGCAAGCAGAGGGGAGGCGAATCTACAGGTTCGCCGGTGACTCTTGGAGGGGAGAGTTTGCCCTAGCCGTCAAGGGTTACGGGAGGAACCTAGCTAGCTAGGGGTTTCTAGCTCAGTTTTTATGTTGTCTTGCTGCCTTGTTTTAATAAAAGTGGGATGGGAAACCCCTGTTGTTCAAAAAAATTGTGTTCATACTTCTTTTTGAGGTAATGGGCCGCTTCATTGATATAACAATTATAGTTCACTACACACAATGGACCGAATCCAAACAGCACAAGCCTCACGCACAACTGACTCAGGAAGAGCGTGAGCAGTCCCATTACATAGACAACTAACATGGAAAAAAGAAATTGAGAGAAACTTTGCGGCCAAACTCTTGATGTCAGAAACAACGGCCCCTTATCCCTGAGCGATACATCATATAAGAATTAGCTTTGAACACCAGAGATCAGCAATCTGAAGCGACCATCACCTGTGAAAACCTTCTTCAGGGGCAAATGCTGAGGCATAACGCATAGCAGTGGCCTCCACCAACTCAAGTTCAGGCACTCTGTCAAAGGAACATCTGCTGGCGGCCACACAGTCCCTATGATGATCACGAATCACGACGCCCGCATCCGTTTACCCAGTGTCGAAATGGAAAGCGGCGTCAACATTTATCATCACCAACCCTTTTGGAAACTTCAACGAGGTGGGAATGCAACTAGTATTTTGCAGCAAGTGAATGGTCTAGGGTGCAATGGTAAATGCGCATAATTGCAAGCTCACCAACTCTGATTAACTTAGCCACCTCCCCTAGTGTGGAGGCAGCAAGTCGTCCAAGATTTTCTCAAAAGAACATAAAACAAGTCGTCCAAGAAATATGTTGAGTACGCAATCAGGCAGTACTGGCGCCCTTGGGAGTCCACCAAATGGCGTGCTTTCTTTTTTATTTTCTGGTTGCGATGTCCAAAAAACCGCTGTCCAGACATTTTGGCACTCCCCGCAGTCCAACCCGCCACTTGCCAAGTCGCTGCCCGCGAAGACCGGGCTTATAAATGGGCAAGCACAGGAGCTCACGCAGGCGCCTGGAGAACTAGCAGCGCCCTCTGCACACCCATCTCACCTCCCTCCCTCCCTAACTACCATACGTATACAGGGAGCGTCCATGGCGGGGACGACCCAGCTGGAGGCCGGCGGCAGCGACGGCGAGTACACGCAGGACGGCACCACAGACCTCCACGGCAACCCCATCCTCCGCTCAAAGCGAGGAGGCTGGAGAGCCTGTGCCTTCGTCGTAGGTAATTACTCTACTTTACCACCCACCAATTAGCTAGCTAGCCAGCGAAATCATCTGCTCCACCTCCGGTGCTTCTCCGGCTTGCTTCAGCTGCTTCTCTCTGTCTCCGGCCTCGTAGCCATGGGTTCTCCTCCATAGGCGTCTGCGTCTTTCTTTTCTTTCTTGATGATGAAACTAAAAACAAAATAACGATCTTATTAGGCACATAGGCTCACGCTCATTGTTTATTTATTTATTTATTGCAATGGAGGCTCATGTTAGTTACTCCTAGTTGTTGAACAATACTGTAGGGTACGTACGATCGATTTTATTTTTCTCTGCTGGTCACATGCATAGATATGGCATGGTCAACGGGATCATGAAATGGTTTGGTTCATGTTAGGATCGGACTGCGATCTTTTCTGACGACCTGGAACCTGCCATCCTGCTTTATTCAGACAAGAAACGATCCCCGTATCACAGCAACTGCGGGCATAGGAACGTTAAAGATTTCTCAAAAGAAAAAAAGGTAAAATACGTACATGCTGTGTGCACTCGTCCAAAGAATAAGCAGCGGCAGAGATACCCAAGAACTAGGAGCCATCCATCCCTCGTCCGGTTTTGAGTGGCCGTGTCCTGCCTCCCCGGTGTGGCAGTATCCCACCCACGCGCTCTATAGACATACGCCCGTCTCTCTGCAGTAATGGATGTAGTACGTAGTACTTGCGTGAATTGACCAGCAAGACAAACCCAATCACAATAAATTTGCTCTAGGTAGTACTTCCTCCGTCTCAAAATAAGTGTCTTAACCTTAATATAAATTTGTACTAGAGCTAGTATAAAGTTGAGACACTTATTTGGGACGGAGGGAATACTAATACTACTACTAGATTGCTATAGACCGGCGGCTGTTACAAAACGAAGGAGACAATGAAAGAGCACGGTGCATAAATTAATGCTCCTAGAGCCCTAGGATGCTGCGATACAAGCTAGTTTAGGATATTAGCAGTATTTGTTTAGTTGATGATTTCTTTTTGAGTTGTTTAGTTCATGATTTTGTCGTCATAAACAGTAGGCAGCAATGTGTTTAGGCCAACGGCTGAAGCAACGATTTGCTTTTGCCATAGGCCAAACCAGAGTTTGCAGAGCAAAAAGCATGAGTATTAGCAGTATTTGTTTACCTCATGTTCGTTTCCATAGGATAATTTTACTCATCACCGGTGAGTAGTTACACTCACTTGACTTTTTCTCATATGAAGAGAACACTGAATTGCTGCCTTGTTAAGCATACATAGCCGGCTTGTCTGCTGCGAGTGGAACATAGGTTTTGGAATTAACCGCGTATACTACCAACCAACGGTCACGAACCCACTTGTGATTCTCTCAGAGGACGAATGAGTCCAGCCGATCAGTACGCGCTATATTTAATTGCTCATGGTAAGAATAATAAGCTCGCACCTCGCAGCATACTCCCTGCTGCTTCCAGTTCATATCGTGCCAAAACTGGCCGGGTGATTACAAGTGTTGTGGTCCCTTTCAGAGGTTAACATTTGAGAACAGCCCATTTTTCTTTTCTTTTGTTCCTGAAGCTGGTTCACACCATGAGCTATTTTTTGACGGGCAAGGCAGGCGCACTGCCGGTTTTCAGTACTCCCTTCGTTTTTATTTATTCCGCATATTAGCTATTGTCAAAATTAAACTTTATAATTTTTGATAAAGTTTATGAATAAAAATATTAACATATAAAATAACAAATCAACATCAGTAGATTCATTATCAAATGTACTTTCACATCATATAGATTTGTTATGGTAAATATTTTTATATATTTTTATAAAATTGATCAAATTTTAGGAAGTTTGACTTCAGTCAACTCTAATATGCAGAGTAAATAAAAACGAAGGGAGTATTAAGAGAGAAAAGGATAGAAACCGAGTGGAGCTTCGTATGGAGATTTCCTTTTCTTTCGTCAACACCAAAAACACACGATGATGTTTCTTTGTGCGATGGTTACGGTTTGGTGACAAACGCCCACCTCACTGGTGAAAGAAAGAAAGTGCATGCATACCAATAATAAAATTGTGCTTGGTTTTAATTTGGCAACGTGCGGTGCAGTGTACGAGGTGTTCGAGCGGATGGCCTACTACGGCATCTCGTCCAACCTGGTGCTGTACCTGACGACGGAGCTGCACCAGGGCACGGTGCTGTCCGCCAACAACGTCACCAACTGGGTGGGCACAATCTGGATGACGCCCGTCATCGGCGCCTACATCGCCGACGCCCACCTCGGCCGCTACCGCACCTTCATGGTCGCCTCCATCATATACCTCCTCGTAAGTCACCGTCGCATTTTTGTTTTTGTACGGCAGCTCTATCGGTAGCTTCCCGTGGGTGGGTCTCACCGTCATCCTCCTCCGCTAATGATCGCGCAGGGAATGATCCTGCTGACCATGGCCGTGTCGCTGCCGTCGCTGAAGCCGGCGAAATGCGGCCTCGGCACGGCGGACGCCAACTGCGACCACAAGGCCACGAGCGTGCAGCTGGGCGTCTTCTTCCTGGCCCTCTACATCCTTGCCGTCGGCACGGGCGGCACCAAGCCCAACATCTCCACTATCGGCGCCGACCAGTTCGACGAGCACGAGCCGCGGGAGCGCAAGCAGAAGCTCTCCTTCTTCAACTGGTGGATGTTCAGCATCTTCTTCGGCACGCTCTTCGCCAACACCGTCCTCGTCTACATCCAGGACAGGATCGGCTGGACCGTCGGCTACGCGCTCCCCACCGCCGGCCTCGCCGTCTCCATCGCCGTCTTCAGCGCCGGGACGCCCTTCTACCGCCACAAGCCAACCTCCGAGAGCTCCTTCGCCAAGATGGCCGGCGTCATCGTCGCTGCCGTCCGCAAGTGCGGCGTCCCCGCGCCCGTGGACCCGCGCGACCTGCACGAGCTCGATCCCAACCAATACGAGAAAAAGAAGACGTCGCCGTTGCCGCACACGCCCAATTTCAGGTGCCCATACATCTATCTCTAAAGTCTAAACCACGTCGGACTGTTATGTGTATATGTGGCCTCATTAGTTAACTTAACTGCCATTGCTGGGGGTGCAGCGTGCTGAGCAAAGCGGCTGTGAAGATCGAGGGGAGCAGGAGCGCGTCACGGTGGTCGTTGAGCACGGTGACCCAGGTGGAGGAGACGAAGCAGATGCTCAAGATGCTGCCGGTGCTACTCATCACGTTCGTTCCGAGCGCGATGCTGGCGCAGATCAACACGCTGTTCGTGAAGCAGGGCACGACGCTGGAGCGGCGCCTTCACCACTTCGAGATCCCGCCGGCCAGCCTGCAGGGGTTCGTGACCATCTCCATGCTCGTCTCCGTGGTGCTCTACGACCGCCTCTTCGTGCCCTTCATGCGGCGGCTGACCAAGAACCCGCGCGGCATCTCGCTGCTCCAGCGCATGGGCGTCGGGCTCGTCTTCCACATCGTGATCATGGTGATCGCGTCGGTGACGGAGCGGCACCGGCTGAGCGTGGCGATGGCGAACGGCATATTCGAGAGCAAGGGCACGACCATCCCGCTCTCCATCTTCGTGCTGCTCCCGCAGTTCGTGCTCATGGGCGTGGCCGACGCGTTCCTGGAGGTCGCCAAGATCGAGTTCTTCTACGACCAGGCGCCCGAGGGCATGAAGAGCCTCGGCACCTCCTACTCCATGACCAGCCTCGGCATCGGCAACTTCCTCAGCAGCTTCCTGCTGTCGACGGTGTCGCGCGTCACGCGCCGGCACGGGCAGGGAGGGTGGATCCAGAACAACCTCAACGCCTCCCGGCTGGACCACTACTACGCCTTCTTCGCGGTCCTCAACTGCGTCAACCTCCTTGTCTTCTTCGCCGTGTGCCGGATGTACGTGTACAACGCCGAGGTCACCCACGTTGTTGATGGTGGCGGCGGGGAGAAACAGAGGCCGGAGGTGGCGATGCAGCCACCTGCTCACGCAGGCGCAGTAGAAGTTCATCCTTGATGTTCCCCCCAAAACCCTCATCAATCGAGTTCAGAGTATTGTGAAATAGTACTGCACGGTATGATATGGAAACAAAAACCACAATAGCTATAGAATTGAAAATAGGAATAATAATAAGAAAAGAAAAAGGGCAGATGCAATATTTGCTAAACATCAACTTTAAAACCCAATAAGATGAGTTCAGATGGAAAATGACCATTACTTTTTTTTAATGGAGCATCACCCCCGGCCTCTGCATCCGACAGATGTATACGGCCATACCATTACGTTTGTTATTGAAGTGAAAATAACTCTCAACTACGGATGTCGCTAGTAACATGATCACAAATGAGATTAGTGGTGTGTGCGGTGACCATATAGCAAAGGTCGTTATACACCCATAAAAGTGACACCACAATGTGATATGGGCAAGCCTCTAGGGTGACCTGATATCTTCACGGGTTGGAGGTGAATTTGAGAGGAGGGGGGGGGGCACGGTAGGCACAAGAGAAAACACGAGGGGAAACACTCAAATCAACACACATAGATGCAATAAAGATACACATAGATAAATCATTGATCCAAATCATCCAAAGAGAGATGGAACAAGATAGGGTTCTTCCCAAGTCCTTAGACAAGGAGAGCTTGTTGCTTCTATGATGCCTTTCGTCTTCACGATTGGAGGTCTTGATATTCCTGAAGGAATCTACTCCTATGGGGCCTTCCCCTCAAGAGGAGGTCTTGATTCCACTAGGCAAGGTAGATCCCACAAACGGGAGATACATGAGTAAAGCTCTATGGTTTTTAGTTCTAGTGTTTGCTAACCATAGAGAAGAGGTGGGGGCAGGTATTTATAGTCTAGCTCACGAAGGGGAAGGGCTCCATAGAGTTTCGGGGTGGACCAGAAGTTTTGGTGGTTGGATGCTTCGGGCAACTTCCAGAATATCCAGAGAGTTTGCACAGCTGCGCGCTAGGGAGGCCGGAAGTTTCGGGGTGGATCAATAGTAATTCAGCATTCGGTATCTTTGAAGATGGGATTAGGAAAACCAGGTGGGGCTAGAAGATCATCAAAGGACTCACCTTCTTGAAGCAGAGCATCATTGTCAGTCCCAATGGTGCTAACTATCATAGTATTTGCTTCCTTGTTAGCTATGGTGGTTGGCTCTGCCTTCTCCATTTCAATTTTCTTCATCTAAAGGTTCAGAGACAGTTGGCCCATATTTTCCTTGCAGATTGCCATTTACCTTTGGAGGCCAATGACACATCAGTTGACGTAAGTACTTCCAGATGCATTGGATCAGTTTGAGGATCAAGTAGTTGCAGAGTGGTATTCAAGATTGCTTTTAGGTGATCACCACGAAATGCTTGGACTCCTATGGAATTAGGAAAAGTCAATTTGTGAGGAGGAGCCTCTTGCACACAACCCAGTTGGAATAATTCAAATTGTAGGCTCATCTCAGGACGGTACCACCCTCCTCGGTGCCTATGACTTCTCTGAGATTTGGATCTTTCGAGCCGGCTTCTACGCCTCCGAGACTTTGGAGTGACCGGGTGGAGTCTAACGAGGTTTTTGAGCACACGTTACCTGCTTTGGATTTTGAGGATGTTGTGAGTCCCGTCCTTGGGGCCTCGTCGATCTCGGCAGGGGAGAGGAGGAGGAGTCTACGCAGGTAGCCACTCCCTCTCATGCGCAGCACGTTGACTCTCCTCAGATCGAGGGTCCGGTGGTGGAGGTCTTTCCTTCGGGAGGGGGTCCGGGGCAGGTGGTCTCGGTTCCCTCTTCTTCTATCACGATGCCGGAGCTGCAGGTGGCGTTTCCATCTTCTGAAGGGGGCTCGGGGCAGGTGGCCTCGGTGCCCTCTTCTCCTCTCTCGGTGGACGAGGTCTCGGTGGTGGAGGTCTTACCTCCGGGAGGGGGTCCGGGGCAGGTGGCCTCGGTACCCTCTTCTCATCTCGCGATGCTGGAGCTGCAGGTGGCGGCTCCGCCTTTTGGAGGGGGCTCGGGGCAGGTGGCCTCGGAGCCCTCTTCACCTGGGGAGCCTAGGGTGGCCGCCCCTCCTGTGGCGCCGATGATCCCTTCTTGCCGGAGGGTCGGGGTGGGTAGGGAGTTCGGGCAGGTGGCCCATGCACTCCCCTCCCCCGGCATGTTGCCGTCTCTCTGCTGCAGGGCGCGACCAACGTCAGCGGGGCCGTCGAGCGCCCCACCGCTTTCAGGTGTTCCCACTGGTTCGTCCATGAAGGCCGACCGGCTGCGTGCTTGGGGTGAGGCAGGAGGCCCCACCCCGAGCAGGGTCACTCGGGAGGAGGTTATTGCGTTTGGAGGGATTCCAGATCCGGTCTCTGAGGGGCGACGGTTGAGCTGCCATCTCCAAGATCATCCGGAGGTGGACGACATACAGCAGCGGTGCGCCATGAGGGCGGCCAAGCTTCATGACGTTGAGGTCACTACTGGTATGTCGGTTAATACCTCTAATTCCATTTTGCATTTTTCTAATGATGAGATTATTAATAATGCAAACCAATTAGGAGTTTCACTAGGTAGTAATGATAGTGAAATTTCAAATTCCGTTAATGATATCCTGGATTTAGAGGCAGAGCGGGCTTTAGAGTTGATTCGTAACTTAGCAGCGGTTAAACCCATGAATGATTCCGATTTTGATGCTTTGGTGGTCAGGGTGCTCAATAATTTTTGTGCGGATCTTATACCTCCCCTCCCTGAGTCTGAGGAGGAGGATGATATCTCTGAGAATGTCGTGGTTAGACCTTTTGAGCCTCGTTGTGAGGACCGGCTGGAGAGTCAGAACATTCCTAAACGCAAGTGGAAGCGGAAGATCTACCCGGCTTCCGCAGTGCGTAGGAGTGCTAGAATCCGTGCGGCTAAAAAATTTCATGACGAAATATGAAAGGAATCTTTTGGAATAGCAGAGGTCTGAAAGACTTGGCTAAAATAAGGTTTCTTGCAGAGGCATCTATCGAGCATAGGTTGGATTTTATCGCATTGTCAGAAACTGGTAGAGATAATTTTTCGCCACAATTTCTCAATACTTTATTGGGAGGTATTGATTTTGACTGGCATTGTCTGCCACCGAGAGGAAGATCGGGTGGGATCTTACTCGGAGTTAGATGTGATTCGCTCGAAGTCTGAAGTGTGGTGATGGGAGACTTTGCAGTTAAGTTTAGGGTGTGGTCGAAGGCCGATGGGTTTAATTAGGCTCTAGTGGCGGTATATGGTGCCGCACAGCCCAAACTCAAACCTAAGTTCTTGGCTGATCTGGTTAGGATTTGCGGCTCTGAGCAGCTTCCAATCCTGGTGGGGGGGGTGATTTCAACATCATTAGAAGGCGTGAGGAGAAGAACAATGATAACTTTGATGGGAGATGGTCGTTCATGTTTAGTACTATCATTGAAAGAAGAGGATCGTTCATGTTTAGTACTATGAGCTTTTGGGAAGAAAGTTCACCTGGGCTAACGCGTTGCCAAATCCGACATTTGAAAAGTTGGATCGAGTACTGGCTAGAGTTGAATGGGAACAGAAGTTTCCCTTTGTAACAGTTCAGGCACTTTCCTGTGGTATTTCTGACCACACGCCTTTATTTCTAGACTCTAGTGAGGCCACCCACTTGGGAAACAAAAACTCGTTTTCGTTCGAGCTTGCTTGGTTTGAACGAGACGGCTTCTTTGATCTCGTAGCAAGAGAATGGGCTAAGGATGCAGGAGGTAGGACTGCGCTTGAGCATTGGCAGACTAAGATCAGGCACTTGAGAAGTTTCCTACGTGGGTGGGCTAAGCATCTTAGTGGGATTTGTAAGGTTGAAAAGGAACGGTTCCTTTCCCTTATTCAGTCCCTGGATGTAAAAGCAGAAACCACGGTTCTGCCAGCCTCGGAGCTTCATGCCAAGCTTGACGCGGAGATAAGATTGAAAGAGCTTCTTCATGAAGAGGAATTAAAGTGGGCATTGCGGGCCAAGGTCCGAAGAGTAGTCCTGGGGGACGCGAACACTCAATTCACATGATCGCCAATGGCAAACACAGAAAGAAGAGGATCTTTCATCTTGAACAAGATGAAGGAACGATTTTAGGACGGGAGAACCTAAAATTATAACAAGCAGTTGTTTGGGCCTCCAGAGGATAAATGTGTTTCTCTGGATGAGTCTAGGATTGAGGATGTTCCTCAACTTACTACTGTTGAGAATGATACTTTAGTTGCTCCTTTTTCTGAGAAAGAGGTGTTTGAGGCCATATCGCAGATGAAAAATAATAAGGCTCCCGACCCGGATGGATTTTCGGCTGAGTTCTATAAGAAGTGCTGGCATATTATTAAGGGGGATTTGTTGCCGTTGTTCCATGATTTATTCTCTGGACAACTTCAACTTTTTCAACTAAATTTTGGAACGATAACCCTGCTTCCTAAGAAAATAGAGGCTGTGAGAATTGAGCAATTCAGGTTCATCTGTCTTCTTAAGGTTAGTTTCAAAAAATTTACCAAGGTCGGGACTAATAGGCTCACGCAGATTGCGCATTCTGTGGTGCAGCATACCCAAACTGCTTTCATGCCGGACAGGAACATCCTAGAAGGGGTTGTGGTCCTTCATGAAACGCTCCATGAGATTCAGACGGAAAAACTAGATGGAGTTGTTTTCAAGGTGGATTTTGAGAAAGCGTACGATAAAGTCAAATGGCCTTTCCTTCAACAGGCCTTACGCATGGAGGGTTCTGATGAAGCCTGGCAACGGCAGGTAGAATCTTTCACGCAAAAAGGGAGTGTTGGAATTAAAGTGAATGATGACATAGGTCATTATTTCTAGACACATAAGGGCCTGAGACAAGGTGATCCAATGTCTCCTATTCTGTTCAACATTGTGGTTGATATGTTGGCAATTCTGATAGGTAGGGCAAAGGAGGCCGGTCAGGTGGGTGGCTTGGTGCCTCATCTAGTTGATGGAGGTGTGTCCATCCTGCAGTACGCTGATGATACGATCATCTTTATGGAGCACGACTTGGCAAAAGCGAGAAATATGAAG